AACCATCCCAAAGAAAAGGAAATGAAAGAAAGCAAAGTGGCTGTCCGATGAGGCCTTACAAAATGGCAGAGAAGAGAAGGGAAACAAAATGCAAGGGAGATAGGGAAAGTTACAGAAAATGGAATGCAGATTTCCAAAGAATAGCAAGGAGAGACAAGAGGGCCTTCTTAAATGAACAGTGCAAAGAAATAGAAGGAAATAATAGAAAGAGAAAAACCAGAGATCTGTTCAAGAAAATTGGAGACGTTAAAGGAACATTTTGTGCAAAGATGGACATGATTAAGGACAAAAGTGGGAGGGACATAACAGAAGCAGAAGATATCAAGAAGAAGTGACAAAAATACACAGAGGAATTATACCAGAAAGATTTGAATATCCCGTGCAAACCAGGTAATGTGGTTGCTGACCTTGAGCCAGACATCCTGGAGAGTGAAGTCGAGTGGGCCTTAGAAAGCACAGCTAACAACAAGGCCAGTGGAGGTGATGGCATTTCAGTTGAACTATTTAAAATCTTAAAAGTTGACGCTGTTAAGGTGCTCCACTCAATATGCCAGCAAGTTTGGAGCACTCAGCGGTGGATGGAGGATTGGAAAAGATCAGTTTGCATCCCAATCCCAAAGAACGGCAGTGCCAAAGAATGCTCCAGCTACCATACAATTGCACTCATTTCACACGCTATCAATGTTATGCTCAAATTCCTCCAAGGCAGGCTTCGGCAGCATGTGGACTTAGAACTTATAGAAGTACAAGCTGGATTTCGAAGGGGCAGAGGAACGAGAGACCAAATTGCTAACATGTGCTGGATTATGGAGAAAGCCAGAGAGTTCCAGAAAAACATCTCCTTCTGCTTCATTGACTATGCAAAAGCCTTTGACAGTGTGGACCACAGCAAACTATGGCAAGTCCTTAAAGAAATGGGAGTGCCTGACCACCTTATCCATCTCCTGAGAAACCTCTGCATGCGACAGGAAGCAACAGTTAGAACTGGAGATGGAAGAACTGATTGGTTCCAAATTGGGAAAGGAGTATGACACGGCTGAATATTGTCCGCCGGCTAATTTAATTTATATGCAGAATACATCATGCAAAAGGCCAGACTGGAGGAATCCCAAACCAGAATTAAGATTGCCGGAAGAAATATCAACAACCTCAGATATGCAGATGATACAAGTCTGATGGCAGAAATTGAGGAGGAATTAAAGAACCTCTTAATGAGGGTGAAAGAGGAGAGTGCAAAAAACGTTCTGAAGCTCAATATAAAAAAAAACCAAGATCATAGCCACTGGTCCCATTGCCTCCTTTAATAGAAGGGGAAGAGATGGAGGCAGTGACAGATTTTACTTTCTTGGGCTAAATTATCACTGCAGATGCTGACAGCATCCACAAAAATCAAAAGACACCTGCTTCTTGGGAGGAAAGCGATGACAAACCTAGACAGAATCTTAAAAAGCAGATACATCACCTTGGCAACAAAAGTCCGCATAGTCAAAGCTATTGTTTTTTCCTGTAGTGATGTATGGAAGTGAGAGCTGGACCATAAAGAAAGCTGACTGCCGAAGAATTGATGCTTTTGAATTGTGGTGCTGGAGGAGGCTCTTGAGAGTCCCCTGGACTGCAAGGAGAACAAACCTATAATGCAACTGAGCAGATAACAAATTATGAAATCTTGAGACTTACAATGCTAGAGGCTATACAACAAGAATCAACAGGATCAAACTGTTTTGCTACACTGTATATACATGAAGGAAATCAACCCTGAGTGCTCACTGGAAGGACACATCCTGAAGCTGAGGCTCCAATACTTTGGCCATCTCATGAGAAGAGGAGACTCCCTGGAAAAGACCCTAATGTTGGGAAAGTGTGAAGGCAAGAGGAGAAGGGGATGACAGAGGATGAGATGGTTGGACATTGTCATCAAAGCTATCAACATGAATTTGACCCAACTCCAGGAGGCAGTGGAAGACAGGAGGGCCTGGCATGCTCTGGTCCGTGAGGTCACGAAGAGTCGGACATGACTAAACGACTAAACAACAAAAAAAGTAAAACTATCATTCCCAGAATAAAAAATCTAGAATTAAATTTATTTTAATGCAACTATATAATACTGATTAAACTGAGATCCCATTGCTTTCAATTATACATGCTTGCATATTAATAAGCACAGATAAACTTGAATGCAAGACCACCAGTTTAAGTGGCTGGTAACTCAGAATGACAGTGTATCCTCAATTTAGTTAGAAACACATTGGTTCAAATGCAATTGCTACTTCTTGTTAATATAGGCCTACTGAATAAACATAATTTACATAATTATTGAGTTACTCAATTGATCCTATTAGTCTACTTTAGCTAAGAGCAGCAATTGCATTTAGACTATCATTTCAGTCAGCAAAAGAATTGATTATAGTTGCTTTGGTTCTTGATTTAAACATGAGTATAGTATTTCTTTCAGCTAGGGTTACTCTAATTATATAGCATGAAGAAAATCTTTTTCTATTTAATTGTTTTCTTTTATAACATTTGGTGGACTGCCGAGATATTTCTATGACTCATCCAATATTTTACTGAAATATTTGTTAATTTAGTTTTAAATTTTGACAAAGTTATATTTTCCCCAAAATTTTGTAAATAATGTATATGGAAATACTTAATATGTCAAGAAACAATCCAAAACTGCAGACAAAGGATATTTCCATTCTTTAGATGCAGGCATGCAGGAAAAATTGGGTTGCTAACTCATCAGAAAGTAAGATAAATTGCCCGACAGCAGCTGCTGCTGTTTTATACCACCTCCTAGAATTTAGCAGCTACAGGTGACTAGTGCCAGAGTTCCCAGAACTGTTTGAGTAAATCATGATGAGTTGTTTTCAGTAAAATTTAACAGTAGCACTTTTCACTTAAAGAACCATACAATATACGTACAGTATGCCCCATGTTTATGCATAGAGCCACTTCATTGTACTCTGTTCCAGCTCATCATTTTACATTTTGTTGCAGAAAGAACTAGAGGGAATGCATGGGTGCACATCTTCTGTCACCTCTTCTTCCATTGGCTACCAAATCCAGGCAAGCAGGCATTTAAAACCACAGTAAAGCAGTTCTGGGGATGCTTTCTCACATCCCTTGTACTATTCCCTTTCACCACCCACAATAAAACAAAGTTCAAGGCTTACCAGGAAGCAAGCCAGCCAACTATACTCAGTGGTATTTGCATCTATATTACATACATTTGCACTTCACACTGTTCCATAATCTAGTGGAATTTAGTCTTTTCTCCTGAGCAAACCAGTTTTGTCTATGAATCTTCTTTTCATATTTACCTTCCATACGTTAATATACTGTTCTGATATTTGCTGGTATTTCATCCCACTGCCAATCTCCCTCCCATCTTCTTTATATCAATTTTAGACTGTCCAACATTGACTCAGGAAATGTGGTGGGTCTTCTGCTGGCATACAGAACATCCTGCCTGTGTCAAATAAAATAAGGGCTGAAAAGTTCATTTTTACAATGTATCACCAAAAGTACTGTTAGGCATTTAATATCCTGTTCCTAATCCCAAGTGTGGCGCCATGGGTTAAACTGCAGAAGCCTCTGTGTTGCAACGTCAGAAGACCAGCAGTCGTAAGATCGAATCCACTGGATGGAGTGAGCTCCCGTTGCTTGTCTCAGCTCCTGCCAACCTAGCAGTTGGAAAACATGTAAATGCGAGTAGATAAATAGGTACCACCTGGGTGGGAAGGTAATGGCGTTCCGTGTCTAGTTGCGCTGGGGATGTGACCACGGAAACGGTCTACAGACAAATGCTGGCTCTACGGCTTGGAGACGGGGATGAGCACTGCGTCCTAGAGTCAGACACGACTGGACTAAATGTCAAGGGGAACCTTTACCTCCTAATCCCAACTGCAATACCCCCCCTTAATTTAATGGAATCTGTGTAAATTTCGACTCACTATTCAGTCTTAGTTGGGATTTGCCATAGGATACTTACTTTAGTCCAGTGTTATTTTTTAGTCCTCACTTAAGACCTCAAGCAAGACTTGCACTGTATATTGTCCCTCTGCTTATTTAACTTATAAGCAGAATACATAATGCGAAAGGCTAGACTGGAGGAATCCCAAACCGGAATTAAGATTGCCGGAAGAAATATCAACAACCTCAGATATGCAGATGATACTACTCTGATGGCAGAAAGTGAGGAGGAATTAAGGAACCTTGTAATGAGGGCGAAAGAGGAGAGTGCAAAAAACGGTCTGAAACTCAACATCAAAAAAACTAAGATCATGGCCACTGGTCCCATCACCTCCTGGGAAATAGAAGGGGAAGATATAGAAGCAGTGACAGATTTTACTTTCTTGGGCTCCATGATCACTGCAGATGGTGACAGCAGCCCTGAAATTAAAAGACGCCTTCTTCTTGGGAGGAAAGCAATGACAAACCTAGACCGCATCTTAAAAAGCAGAGACATCACCTTGCCGACAAAAGTCCGAATAGTCAAAGCTATGGTTTTTCCTGTAGTGATGTACGGAAATGAAAGCTGGACCATAAGAAGGCTGACCGCCGAAAGAAGAAAAGACTCCCTGGAAAAGACCCTGATGTTGGGAAAGTGTGACGGCAAGAGGAGAAGGGGACGACCGAGGATGAGATGGCTGGACAGTGTCTGCAAAGCAACCAACATGAATTTGACACAACTCCGGGAGGCAGTGGAAGACAGGACGGCCTGGCGTGCTCTGGTCCATGGGGTCACGAAGAGTCGGACACGACTAAACGACAAAGAAAGGATCACCCTATTGGCGATATTAACGGGAGGGTGAGAAGAGTCTGAACTCTAACATCCCCTTGGAAAGATGGGGATGGAACTGAAGCAGGATCACCAGTGGGAAAGAAACAATGTCCACCCCAAAGCCGGCTTGGGAAAGCCCCTAAACAGGCCAATTGGTATAGGATGGGGTTTCCATAGAAGGGGAGCACAGCTCCTTCTCACGATCTTGTTTGCGCAGGGCGAGCACATCCGGGTACGAGGCCCAGAACAGGGCGGAGGATAAAGCGCGAGCGAGGCAAGGGGAGAGCGGTGACGAGTGAAAGGGAAGTTCAAAGCCTTATATTCCCTTCCGCGCTATTGCTCACTGTTTCCGGCGTCCCGCTTTGTATCTAAGATACTGAGAAAAAGGCCGGAACAGTCCTATGACCGAAAAAGAGGGAAGGGAGAAAAGGACTGTATTGCTTTCTGGAGTCGTTAGAAATGCTCCCGAGAAGCCCGTCCCTCGCAGACCACATCCCGCGCTTTAGCTGCCCCAATTCTTTCTCCTCCCACAAGTAGCAGAACGAGCACGACCATCTTCCCCTTGCCGGAAAACGTGTGGCGCCCCTTGGGTCCCGAGAGAAGTGGAGCAGCCCTCAGAGGGGCGAGGCGCAGTCGTCTCGGTTAACGGCGGCGGTAGGGCGTCTCCTTCGCCCCCACCGCGTGTGGACGGTTGTCCGTGGGAGAGGCGCTTCCTTTAAGAGCAGGTCTCAAGCTTCATTCACCTCGGAGCGGGCGGGCAAGCATACCAAGTAAACTAAAAGCAGTGGTAATTCTGAATGACTAATAAGGGTCTTCACTCTGAGGGTTCCCCTCCCCTAACTGACTGACTAGCCTCCGCTCACAGTTCTGGCCGGGGTTTGTCTTCACTTATCCACCACTTTGGGGGAGTTATTTGGCCCCCTCTATTGTGTGCAGCTGAGGGATGAGTTGACTCAAGCTTCAGGCTCCCCAGTCCAGAAATCCCGGCTTGTAAGATAAGGCGTTAGAACCTTTTGTGTGTGCAAATCCTTGGTAAGTTACAAACGTCCAGGGACGCTTTCCTTTGGTGAAGATTGGTCCTTCCTGTCGTCTTTATGGACAAAACTTGTAGTTTTCAGTTTTTCGTTACCAGGTGTTCAAACCGTGAAAATTTTTTTAAGGCAGGGAAGGATGATCCTGGAAAACGTGTATAATAAACAGCTTTTGTCACAGTCTTTCCCAGTACCTCTCACTGTTTGGTGTCACGAGGTTTGTTTGAATAACCTTTTATGTATATTTATTTGTTAGTTTGTCCATATACTGCTTTTCTCCTGTAAGGAATTTAGGGTGATTTGTAAAATGCTATATGTTTCAAATACTTTAATATAGGTTGTGAATGGCACAACTTATTTTTACTGAAGTGTGAACATGTATGACTGGAGCATTATTGAAATGCTGTTTGAAGAATTTAAGGTGTCCGTTCTCAGTGTGCTAAACAACTTGTTTTCCTTTTGTTTTGGAGGTAGTGTTTCATGTCAGAATCAGCAGTTTTAGATCAATGTGCATGATATATCACTATGGAAAACTTTATTTTGTATGAAGAGATTGGAAGAGGAAGCAAGACAGTGGTTTATAAAGGCAGAAGAAAAGGAACCATTAATTTTGTGGCAATTTTGTGCACGGATAAATGCAAAAGAGCTGAAATAACAAACTGGGTAAGAATTAACATTTTGAAGGAAAAAGTAATTTTATTTTGGGCGTGCTCAGAAGGAAGTCCATGGCCAAAAAGACTGCTATGCTAATAGTGTTGCTTGTTGTGAACTCAGGGGGGAGTTTAAAATATTTGTGAATCTTCCTTCTTAGCAAACTATAAGTACTTTATATTCTTGTACTGAACAATTATGAGATTAGTTGTCTCTTCTAGCCCATTCTGACATGTTAAAAGTTTTATGAACACTTTTATAATGTAAACTTGTAAAGCTTATTAGTAATAAGGGGAAAAACATGCTAGGTTATAGGAGGGCTCTAGACCTGTTTCTTTTTTTATTATAAGCCCAGTATTTCACCTAGACATGTTTTTATTTCTGTTTTGCTTTGTCTTCTAGTAACATCAAGTACACCACTCAGTTCAGTTTTAGCCTACGTTTTAGACATATACTGCCACACATATGATACCAAAATTTTATGTTGATCTGGAATAGTTTTGAAATTTAAACAATATTTATTTTCAGCTAGCATTTTAAAGAATCCTATTGAACCTCAAAAAGGGATTGATAATACATAAAAATTGTGAGGGAGGTAAGAGTCTGACATAAAACTATGATTCCCATGAAATCTTTGTGTTCCATACTTGTAGAAAATTGATTCCACCATTGCTGAGTCTTTCTTTCATTGAACCCTCCACAACTCTTTGCTTGAGAAGTTATGTCTCTCATCTAACAGTAATAATGCTGCACAATTTGACAGAGCAGGGGTGCAATAACTGAACAGGGCAGTTGTATGTGATGATTGTTGCCCTGTCTCCTCCTGTGATTTGGAAAGAAGGAAGCTTTGGAATAGTTATTTTATTCTATTGGTAGTTTCCCGTGAGTTATTTTATAATTATGAGTCTAATTTGTCCCACTGCATTCAGGTTCAACAAGTAAATCCTCTGATAGCTAGGACTAAAGCAAATTGAAGTCAGAATTATTTACAGGGAGTAGTTTGGGCACAAATTCTGTGGATAGACATGTTTCATTTCAGTCCCCCTTCAAAAAGTAATCAAGTTTGAGTAAAATATTGTATATATGCCCCACAAAGCAGGTTTTTAAAAACCTTCTTACATAAGGTTAAATGTTTTGTTAGGTCTGTTCCCATTTCCTTCCTGGGTTAGACCCAGTGGCCTTATTTGAATTCCATTATTCTATTATAGAAAAAGAGTTCTACTGTATCTTTTTGGCATAAGTACTTGAATGTACAGCGGTGCCTCAACTTATGACCATAATCCGTTCTAGAAGATGGACTTAACTCGAAATGGTCGTAAGTCGAAGCACAATTTCCCATAGGAATGCAGTGAAATGCAATTAATCCGTTCCGGCTGAAATGCAAATGTACAAATGGAGCAGATTGGAAATGCACAGAGAACAAAGGGACAAGGTCAGAAATGTACAGAAAATAAAGGAAAAAGCAAGGGAAGCACGCAGGACCCATCAGAAGTGGGGGGAAAATCCAAAAGCAACCAAACCTCCCAAGACCCATCGGAAATGGGGGGAACCCAAAAAACAAACAAACCCCCAAGATCCATCACAACACAGAAACATAACCCCCCAGCCGAAAACCATGCTGCAAAACCACCCAGAACAGTTTTTAAAAAGCAGAAAACAGCACCTTACCTTACCTAATAGGCAATCCCAAGCCTCCCTGCAAACACACACACACTCTCACTGAGAAGCAAAAGCCAGGCAATCCCTCCTCGATTGATCACACTCACTGTAACCGTAGGGGCGAAAGAGCTACAAAGAAGCAGCCTCTTTCGCCACCTACAGTTAGCAATTTACATTTCTCACCTTTCCCCCGGCTTTTTTCTGTTCATAAGCGGAAGCTCCAGTCACAAATAGAAGCAAAATTTTTTCAACCGGAGCTGTTTGTAAGTTGAATTGGTCATAAGTAGGATGGTCGTAAGTCGAGGCACCACTGTATCTGGTTGGATTCAATTAGTCATGATTTAAATTGGTCTATTCGAAGTATGACTATATCTAGATCTAACACATACTCCTTGTTACTGCATAGGCTTTGCTGGCCCATCATGAGTTCAAACTGTCTCAAGTGTGTGGGTAATCTGTTACAGGTGCGCCTTACTCATGAAATAAGGCACAAGAACATTGTAACATTTCATGAATGGTATGAAACAAGCAACCATCTCTGGCTTGTGGTGGAATTATGCACAGGTAAGAGGATGTTAACCCAACGTTGAGTGAGTGCTACTTAGGATTAACTGTTTTCAGTTTGAAATATAAAAACTAGGATTGGCTAAATAAACCCAAGCTTTAACCCAATAGAATTCTTTGTTTTCCTATGTCATATTGTAAGATTCGATGTTGCATCTCTTTGGAACTTGCATTGTTACCAGAATTTTTCAGTATGTATATGGAGGAGGGTAGCTATCTTGGGAGGTGGGTGAACCGGATAAAGACAGTAAATAGGATAAATCCCTGAAAATGAAAACCTTGGAATATGATTAATTGCACATCTCTACTTTATTCTTTAAAACTTTCTTAGGCACATAAAACAAGTTTCACAGTTCTTTGTGTCATTTCTCCCCCATTCTGGATGAAAACATATCTATAGGTAGTTGAGATGCATTACAGAACTTGGGCAGTTCCCCCATGCCATATTACAGCTGCTTTTAAAGCTTTCCCCACTTTCAAAATATGTTTGCCATTCAGCACTGGGTTTGCTTATTCTAATTCTTTGAGAGAATAAAGTCCAGAGCTTTTTTAGGTAGCAGCTATTAGTAAGAGTTTCCTGAAGCTAGAGTGTAATTTTCCAGTTGGCTCTTTTACCTAATGGACCTATCCTGAATGTTATCTTACGGTAATATATTCAATGCTAACTATGCTAACTAAATATTTGAGAATTTGTATCCTTGCTGTCTTGTCTTCAGTATTGCTTTTAAGGAACAAAAGAGAGAGAGAGAGAGAGAGAGAAACTAGTGTCACTCTGATAGAAATTATTATACTAGAAGTGTATCATTTTAATATAAATTATTTACTAGAAGTGTAGAAAAAAGAGATTCAGGGTCTTAAGTGAGAAAATATAAAATAGTCCCATAAATATGAACATTTTGTCCCTTCCTGCCCAGACATGGACCTGTTCTTATCACAAAAGCATACCTTCTCTATGCTTCCAATGGGAACCTAAATCAAGGACTTGGGCTTGTCCTTTGTCCAGATCAGTGGTTCTGAGCCAGGGCTTGATAAATGTCCCAAACCTTTACCTCCTGGATGATTTGTAGATGACTCGGGCCTGGTGTGGGGTTCCATCTGTCTGTTTTTTCAGTTTGATATCTACAGCTAAATGTGACAATGTGTTAATGTAGAAGCAAATGTAAACACAGAAGTTCCTCTAGTGTTATAGCAATTATTCAATTTGTCTTTTTGACATTGTGACTGATTAAGTGTAAATACTTTATAGGTGGATCACTAGAAATGGTAATTGCTCAGGATGAACACTTACCTGAAGATGTTGTGAGAGACTTTGGTATTGATTTGGTAGCTGGACTTCATCATATTCATGAGCTTGGAATTCTTTTCTGTGACCTTACACCTGGAAAGGTAAGAGGTGATGTATTTTGCTTTGATGAGTAATTTCTGGAAATAATCAACTAAATATTGAAAAGCAATAAGTGTAACCTATATTTGTATTTAATGCTGTAGATTCTCTTGGAAGGACCTGGTACTCTAAAGTTCAGTAGTTTCTGTTTGGCTAAAGCAGCAGGTGAAAACATGGAAGATTTTTTCGCTTTAATTGGAACAGAGAAGAGGGGCAGTGATAGTGATGAAAACACAGAACAAAGTCTAAAAAAGAAACTGACAGGTACAGTACTTTGCAATATGTAAAAGAAATAAGTATATTAGTAGAATACACTGATGCAATTAAAACTAGGTGTAGTAGTTTCCATCCCATAATACTTGGAATTGGGGGTGGGTGTTCAGTGACCGTGTCACAGAAAGCTACAGCATTTTATTAAGGCAAATAGTCAGTGATTATGTTTTATCAAAGTTGCATAATGTGAAGCCATCTGGCATTTTCTGATGTAATTCACTGCCATGATTCCCTAATTTCCCTGTGGCCTTCCATGCTTTCTACCTTTGGACACATCCCTCCCTATACAAGTGAGGCTGGGTATAGGAAAGGAGTCACCTATAATATATTTGTTTGGATAGCTGAATATTTGTCAGGCTGCATTCCTGTCTGCTTGTTGCTCTGTGATTATAGGAGTTTTAAGTACGTACATAGTTCTTTGTTAAATGCCAGCAGTCTTTGTATAGGTAATCTGAAATTCCAGTGAGTTTCTGAGCAATGGGTTTAGGATAGAATTGACTTTTGGAGGGGTGTTCATTGCAAAATCAAAGTAAATAGTTCTTCACCTTTTTATGTTGCATACTTTTTTTTGCAGGTTCACTTACGTATGTTGCTCCAGAAGTTATAAAAGGCACTGACTTCTCTGTAGCCAGTGATTTGTGGTCCTTGGGATGTTTGCTGTATGAAATGTTTTCAGGTATTAGTCTTACTAATATAACTAATAGTGTATTAGAGTAAGAATGAAAACTGTAGGTATTAATAACATGAAACATTAAGATGGAAATCATTAATTTAGGGTTGATGATTTTGTGTGACTGCTCTTGCCATCATATTTAATTTTCATACAGACCTGTGAACAGCTGTTTGAAGATGTTAGTATTGAATTAGTAAAGGAAAATAATCAATTTGGTTTGTGAGGTGAAATTTAAATATAATTTTAAGTTCAATGTAGTTGTTGATTTCTGTCTTTCAGTCATTTGAGGTTTTGTTCCATCAATTTAGAGGCTTAATTTACATGTAGAAATAAACCAGGTTGTTTTTTGTATTGTTATATATGCCTCTGCAATCAAAACATGCTTGGGTATGCAGTCACAAACCAAAATTAGAATCAGAGTTTGCAGAAGTTACTTCTTGTACTAGAATTCCCAGAATCTGAAGGCTGTATACTCACTGGCTCTACTGGATGGGGAATTTAGGGATCTGTAGTTCAAGAAAGTAATGTTTGCCAGCTCTGTTTAGCTGCTAGGATTTGTGGTTAGTGTTTGAACTCTGGATTGTTTATTGTTATGATGGTTTATTATTATGCTTGAATCCTAAAACAGACAAATGGAGAAAACAAGTGACTTATTTGGAAACCAGTACAATAAATCGATTGGAGTAACATCCAGTGTGACCACAACCTGCATCCTTATGGTCTTAAAATTCCAAACAATTGACTTTTCTCTATTTGTGCAGCCTTTTTGCTTTTCTAGGTGTTTTTTTTTCTTATTCTTACATAGTTATAAAGGCTACTGAGTCTAATTAGTTGAGAAGTGTATAGGTACAAATGGAAAGGAACAACTGAGTTAGTGTTAAGCATGTGGAGTAACTGGCTTTTTTCTAGCCAAATTTGGGTTCTTGCTGCAGCTCTTCATGTAGGATGACTCATCAAATACAGTCAAAATATGCTTCCTGAGTCTTTTTTTCATGATATGATTATCTTTACAACATACTATTGGGTTATGTGGTTGTTCTCTTCTTTAATTGTGAGAAGTTGGTCCTGCTGTTGCTAAATTTCACAAGAGGAATGTACTGTGTTTCCCCAAAAAGAATACAGGGTCTTATATTAATTTTTGCTCCAGAAAACACATTAGGGCTTATTTTCAGGGAATGTTTTATTTTTTATTTCATGTACAACAACCTACATTTATTCAAATACAGCCATGTCATCTTTTGGTTGCTGCACAATGGTGGAGGACAGGACTTCACTTAACTGGGGATTATTTTTGGGGTAGGACTTATATTATGGGCATCCTGAAAAATCATTTTTGTTGTTTAGTTGTTAAGTCATATCCGACTCTTCGTGACCCCATGGATCAAAGCACGCCAGACCCTCCTGTCTTCCCCTGCCTCCCGGAGTTGGGTCAAATTCATGTTAGTAGCTTCAGTGACACTGTCCAACCATCTCATCCTCTGTCGTCCCCTTCTCCTCTTGCCTTCACACATTCCCAATATCAGGGTCTTTTCCAGGGAATCTTATCTACTCATGAGATGGCCAAAGTATTGGAGCCTCAGCTTCAGGATCTGTCCTTCCAGTGAACACTCAGGGTTGATTTCCTTCAAAATGGATAGATTCGTTCTCTTTGCAGTCTGGGGGACTTTCAAGAGTCTCCTCCAGCACCCCAATTCAAAAGCATCAGTTGTTTGGCCGTCAGCCTTCTTTATGGTCCAGCTCTCACTGCCATACACTACTGCTGGAAAAACCATAGCTTTGACTATGCGGACCTTTGTCAGCAAGGTGATGTCTACTTTTGAAGATGCTGTCTATGTTTGTCATCGCTTTCCTCCCCAAAAGCAGTTGTCCTTTAATTTTGTGGCTGCTGTCACCATCTGCAATGATCCTGGAGCCCAAGAAAGTAAAATCTGTCACTGCCTCCCTCTCTTCCTCTTCTATTTGCCAGGAGGTGATGGGACCAGTGGCCATGATCTTCGGGTTTTTTTTTGTCTTTTTGTTGTTGTTTTTTTGATGTTAAACTTCAGACCATTTTTGGCACTCTCCTCTTCCACCCTCATTAAGAGGTTCTTTCCTCCTTACTCTTTGCCATCAGAGTGGTATCATCTGCATATCAGAGGTTTATGATATTTCTTCCAGCAATCTTAATTCAGGTTTGGAATTCATCCAGTCCTGCCTTTCACATGACATATTCTGCATATAAGTTAAATATTCAGGGAGACAATATAAAGCCTTGTTGTACTCCTTTCCCAATTTGGAACCCATCAGTTGTTCCATATCCATTTCTAACTTTTGCTTCCTGTCCCACATATAGATTTCTCAAGAGATAGATAAGGTGATCAGGCACTCCCATTTCTTTGAGGTCTTGCCATAGTTTGTTGTGGTCGATACAGTCAAAGACTTTTGCGTAGTCAATGAAGCAGAAATAGATGTTTTTCTGGAATTCTCTGGCTTTCTCCATAATCCAGCACATGGTTGGGTCTTATTTTCAGGGAAACAGGGTAGTGGTATTCTAGGTTTGAAACTGTACATCATATTTTGATTAAAACTGTTGCACATCCTGTAAAGTGAGTGTTTATGAGCTTGTGCCTGTGATAAAACTCAAAATTTGGCACACTGTTCATTATATAATCATTTTTAGAAGATGCCATTTGTAAATTAAGCAATTTCTTCAAGGACAAGGAAATTGCCTTTCTCTAGATATAGATATATATGTCGATTATTACTTACTCAAAATATTTGATTTATAGGACAGTGCCATACATGTTGATTCAAGGGAATTTAGCAGGACTTACTGCTATTTAAATGGGTGCAGTACGCAGTCTAAAGAAATGGTGCTATACATTCGCTATCTTTTGTGCTGGAAAAAATCAGTTAATACAATGATACCCATTTTCCAATGAATATAAAATTGTATATGTATCTATTTCCTTTTCTTACAGTTAACTAATAATGGTTGTGTTGATACATAGAAACATTGTTAATTACTGAGACTTATTTTGATTTTGCTGAAAACTGACCCACTTTTTTGTTCCACACATAGGAAGACCACCATTCTTCTCAGAAAGCCTCACTGAATTAGCAGAGCAGATTTTACATGAAGACCCTTTTCCACTTAGACAGAGAGGTATTATTCTACAGATAGGTGATTTAAATTAAACATTGTCTAAATAATCTATTGTGAGTTGCAAAATGGGACAAAATGCATGTAGCTCTTCTCATATATCAGAACAGCTGTAACCATGAAATGTTTGAGAAGTGTATTTTATATTCTTAGAACAGAACATTCTTATAAGTTTTCATTTTAGGGTTACTGCTTATTTCTTTCTAATGATTTGATATTTACCCACAGTTGTGTTGGTGCAGATAATCTTTATGGCAGATTCTTGGGCAATTGAAAAGTATTGAGATCCAACTCATGATATTATGTAAAAGAGTCTTTAAAAATGGCATGGCTAAAAAGGATCATATCACACCAGCAAATTAATGAGCAGGCATTTTGTTGTGCCAGTTGATGCTTGGGGTCTAGGAAAGGTTAATTGTAATTTCAGTATGGCCAAAGATGTGAAAAGTGTGGCTCATCAACTATAAGAAGGCAGAAGGCAAACACAGGAAATGTATTCATAGTCCCTCATAGGAAGTGTGTGAAGAATTGGAAATAAATGTGTTTCAGTAATGGTAAGAGGTGCCTGAGAAATGGTCAGGGAGTAGAGAAATAATTGTAGTTTAGTTAAGATAATAAATAGTACATAAAAATAGTGACCAGAATGGTGAACCACACAGCCAGACAAAAACAGAAATTCAACGAATGCCAAAGCAGCCAACAGAAACCTACATTATATATTTATTTATTTATTTGATTTATACCCCGCCCATCTGGTCTAAAAGACCACTCTAGGCGGCTTCCAATATAGTAAAAACAGTGAAATAATATAAAAAACACACACAATTACATAAATCATATTGTAATAAACAGAATACAACAATAGAATAGAAAATACATAAGGAGAGAATGAAGAAAAGTCAGATATTAACTGGAGGGAAGGCCTGAATGTATAGCCATGTTTTTAATTGACTTTTAAAAGTGTCCAAAGTGGGGGCCGCGCGGATTAGACACATTGCACTTCATCATCAACCTATCTGAACGCCAACTGTCCCCGGAAGAAACCTCAGTCTTAGCCAAAGGAGGAAACTTTGTAGTCACACCCAGTAAAATTCCTGTGGAAGATATCATTGCCAACATGGAATCAGCATTATATCATCTTCCAGAACAAAAAGCAGAAGAAATAAGAGGTGAAGTGACAAGGATCCTACAAAACAAACCCCCCAAAAAATAACATAACAAGAAAGGAGAGAAATGCCATCAAGTCCCTGAACTCAGACCCGGACATCATCATCCTGCCTGCAGACAAAGGCAATGCCACAGTAATCATAGAAACAGAAGAATACAAGGACAAAATTAGGGAACTTCTAGACCCCACCACCTACAGAAAACTGAAATGGGACCCAACCAACAAAATAACAAAACAAACATGCTGATCAGGAGTTCCTCCTTGCACCCCAATGTCTTTCAACGAACCTGCAAGACAGAAGCTCTCCCACCAAGACTATACGGACTTCCCAAAATCCACAAAGACTCAATTCCACTCAGGCCCATTGTAAGTGCCATCGGCTCCTGAACATATGAATTAGCAAAATATCTAGCCACCCTCCTACAGACCTACATTGGACAAACCTCATCCTACATCAAAGACTCAGGACATTTCACAAACAAGATCAGCACCCTAAAACTCAAGCCTGGGGACAGACTGATTAGCTTTGACGTAGTATCCCTATGGTACCGATAAAGGACACTCCGACACTCCTCCAGCAGATCTTTCGAGAAGACATCAAGGCCCTTTTCCAAAACTGCCTAAAGACCAGCTACTTTCAGTGGGATAACGAGTTCTACGAACAGACAAAAGGAGTGGCCATGGGGAGCCTCCTCAGCCCAGTTATAGCCAACCTCTACATGGAATATTTTGAAAAACAGGCCCTGGCTTCGGCACCCTTCACACTCACAGTCTGGTTCTGATATGTGGATGACACCTTCGCAGTTTGGAACCACGGTGAAGAAAAACTGGAAGAATTTCTAAACCATCTAAACAGCATCTACCCAAATATTCAATTCACCATGGAAAAAGAAATAGAGGGCCAACTCCCGTTCGTAGATGTTATGGTCATACACAAAACTGACCTCCTATTGGGACACAAGGTCTACAGAAAACCCACCCACACAGACCGGTATCTACACAAAAACTCCAACCACCACCCATGACAGAAAAGAGGCATAATCAAAACACTGGTAGACCATGCAAATCGGAACTGTGAAGCTCAATTTCTCAGCACTGAACTCAACCATCTAAATTCGGCCCTACAGGCGAATGGCTATTCCAAGAATGAAATAAAAAGAGCCATCAAACCAAGAAAACAACACCAAACTGAAGAGGAAAAACAGCCACCCACAAATAAAGTATTTCTGCCATACATCAAAGGGGTCACGGACCACATGAGGAAAGTTTAGAAAAAACACAACCTACAAACATTATTCAGACCCACCACAAAAATACAATAAATGTTACAGTCAGCAAAGGACAAAAGGGACCCCCTCACCACTGCTGGAGTATACCAGATACCTTGCAGTTGTGGATAGGTATATATTGGAACCAGAAAACGCAGCATTCACACCAGAATCAAAGACCACGAGAGACACTGCAGACTAAAACAACCGGAAAAATCAGCAGTAGCTGAACATGCCCTAAAACAAGCTGGAGATGAAATTCTATTTCAAAATACTGAAGTACTGGACAACACCAGCAATCATTATGTTAGACTGCACAGAGAAGCCATTGAAATCCATATCAACAGAACTTCAACAAAAAAGAAGGCCGAAAACTAAACAGAGCCTGGCTTCCAATACTGAATAATACAGCCTGCAAAAGGTCAATGAACTCTACCCAGCCACAAGGACCAGGGATCATTGCACAAAGAAGATCAGCTAGTTTCACTGATTTAAGTTCAATGGTACTGTGAGACTGCTGTTATTTAGCAAGTTTCTGCTTGTATTTCTTCTTGTGCACAAGGCACACGGCAAGAGATATGAATGGCAGTTTCCTGAATAGCAGGAATCTATATAACTGCACTTACTTCGACACAATTAACCAATAGGATTCTGGCCATTGTTTTCTTATGTATATGTTTAAAACTTGCTGTGATGACAAGCTGAAGACTAGATCTGCAAATATGATTGCATGCTGAACCTATTAGTGCTGTTTCTGTAAATCTGATAGATTCAGGGTAAGATATGAAAAAATCCCTTTTAATCATTATGCAATTGAGTTTATTGCTGTGTTTATTATCCCACTGAAGCAGTGTCCTTTCTCATGGAGTCGAAAGAAATTAACAGGAAAAATTGTGACACATGTTTCAGTAGTAGTAAGACACTGTCAGCAAATTCATGCCTTTTGGTCACAGATGTAGGGATTGTAATTCCATAATCCCCTTATTGATTGATTGATTGATTGCCCAGTTAGTGAATTCAAACCATTTTAGGTGTGTATAAACAAGGAAGACTCCATTACCTCACCTTACTTCATTCTCATAAATAATAATGTGCCATCAAGTCAATATTGACTTTTGGCAAGCTTTTTGAGGGTTTTCTAGGTAGAAAACACTCAGATATAGTTTACTGTTCTCTTCTTCTGGAGGCATCTTGGGACTGTGCAGCTTGCCCAAGGTCACACAGACTGACTGTACTCACAGGAGGCTCAGTGGGGAATTAAACTCCCAACCTCTGGTCTGCAGCTAGATACCTAAACAACTGAGCTATCCAGCCATAGTAACATAATAAAAGTAACTATACCCTGTTTCTCTGAAAATAAGACCTAACCTGAAAATAAGCCCTAGTATGATTTTTCAGGATGCTCGTAATATAAGCCCTACCCCCAAAATAAGCCCTAGTTAAGTGAAAGCCCGCCCTCCACCACTGTACAGCAACCAGAAGATGACATGGCTGTACAGTATTTGAATAAAACTTAGATTGTTGTACATGAAAAAAATAAAATATCCCCTGAAAATAAGTCCCACTGCTTTTTTTGGAGCAAAAATTAATATAAGACCCTATCTTATTTTCGGGGAAACATGGCATAACTGACTTGAGTGTGGTAATCTACAGAAACTGAGGTTCAAATGTTAATATTAACATAATTTGAGGGTAAGATGTCCTTAAAAACTGCCTTATATTATTCTGTTTCGAGTAATTTCTTGAATATTGAGACAGATTGAGCCTGGTAGTTTATTCCATGAAGTGGGGCTATTACAGTGGATCCTCGACTTACGGAATTAATCCGTATTGGAACAGTGGCCACAGGTTGAAAAGTCCGTAGGTCGAGGATCCATTTCCCATAGGAATGCATTGAAAATCATTTAATCCGTTCGAGGCAAAGAAAAAAAAATCCCAGGCTTCCAAAGGTGCACCCACTGCCCTCTGTCTCCCCTCCCTGGTGCACTGTGCCTTCTGTCCCTGTGTGGACAGGAGGCAGAGGGCAACGGGGACAGAAGACAGATGGCAACGGGTGCAGCTTTGGAAGCCCGGGAAGCCGAAATCCACTCCGCGCCTGCTGCTGGCTTTCTGAGCTGCGTCACCCCCGCTGCCGGCTTTCCAGGCTTCAAAACCCCCTCCGCTGCCCTCTGTCTCCCGTCCCTGGTGCCCTCTGCCTTCTGTCCCGATAGGGACAGAAGGCACAGGGTACCAGGGACAGGAGACAGGGACGGAGAAGGGGGTTATGAAGCCCGGGAAGCCAAAAGCCAGCACTCAGGACGAGGCCCAA